TTGTCCATGCATTGCATGGTTATCGTACATGTATTGTACCAATTTTAATGTTTTTTACCCCACTAATAGCTAAGCTGGAATATTTTTGTCTCGGACGGTATGCGCGGGGCAAAGTGGCCGGGGCAAAGTGGCCACCCCCCAATTGGCCAAAAGCTGCTTCCATCTGGATAAAAAACATTATTTATATTCAAATGTGTCGTCATGCATTCATCTTGGCCACTTTTCAGTTGCATGAGTTACCAAATAATGCAATTAAATGTTTTTTTTTCATGAAAATCCTTTCTTTGTTTACCTACAGATGGAAGATGATAAAGTAAACATCCATCCTCGCTTAACCTTGTCACCATCAAATACCCTAGTCGTACACGAGGCAACTATTTTGTTTCTCATGTCGGGACTTGAGAAGACGCCGGTGGCCGCTTTGCCCCAGGGTATGGGGCAAAGTGGCCAATATGCATAGGTTTAAAGTTTTGTCAATATATTTCATATGTGAACGCCTTTGGAAATAAAACGCAGTTGAAATAAAAGGCAACTTAATAGGGATCACATTGGTATAGAAAGAATCTTTCCAAGTTTAAAAATCAAGCGTTGGCATCGTGAGAAGCGTTAGGGTGGCCGCTTTGCCCCACTCTCCCCTAATTCAGAAAGAATTGGGTGGTTTTGACTCGTTTTCTCGAAGCAGGACACAGTTCATTATATTTTCCAATAGGCTTGTCACGATTCCGACCTGACTGACGTCTGCAAGATTGAAACTATACGGTTATCAATTCTTTCTGTGTGAATGATGCCACGTTTACTTGCTGTAAGTAAAACATGGTTTCGTTAGTAAATTTTCCTAGGTCCAGGTGGTTTGCTTCATTTACGCCGTAGGTGAAACAAACAATCGATGGATAGGTATATAATGATTTCCCGGTCAAATAATTATTATGAGTTGTGCGAAGCATGGCTATGGGAATATCACCACGGTCTGATAAATAGTTTGGGTAATTGTATCCATCGTAAAAATACCAACACAGCCACAGGTATATAATTACATAAATGGGCTCCTGTGTTCATGCATTAACCCGCGCCCTGCTGGGGGGGGGGTGTTTGAACACCCCCCCCCCCCCTTGTGGTCTTTCGCGAATATCTCAAAAACGGCGGCGCGGAGCGCCGCCGTTTTTGGTACACCTTATCATACATCAATTCTACACATGTTGTTAAACTTTCAGACCAAGGTCATACAAGGTCAGGTCACCAGGTCACTTGAAGTGACCTCACCTCATAAAAAGTTTCAATGTCTGTCATACCTACACCGAGTGACCGATCGCTTTGAAACTTTCAGCGATTGCTAAGAGCAATAGCATGAACAAAATGTATATCTCAGAATTTTGATATCGATGACCTAAGGTCAGGTCAATTTTGCGACCTCCCCATTATAAGTCAATGGGAGAAAATTGGAATGCGCCTCTTTTGGACGAAAGACATTATAAACACTTCCAAACACCGAATTACAAGTGGTTTAGACACACAGAACATGAAAATGGTGTCCGTGACCCTTGTTTATGCCCTGAGGTCATCTTAGGTCACGAATGGTATCTAACAGTTTTTCGCAAATAACTTTTGATAGAGGCATGCTAGAGCGATGAAAACGCCTTAGATGTGTTCAGTTCGACGATACGGATCGACTGATATGCATCATGACCCTTTCCGGTCAGGTCATGACCTTGACCTGAGGTCAAATTTTCAAGTTGACCTTTCAAGGTCAAGTTATAGTTAATTCGTGTTCCTCTCGTCATTCGATGCGTCTTGACGAGAGGAACACGATGCCGGTAAAAGTAAGCTCGTACAAGGCTTGGGTCAAAAGTTATTGCAGAAAAACTGTTTCCGAAAAAATCGGCTATTTTTGCAGTTTTTGCCCCCTGTAGGCAAAACCGTTGACGTTAGGTCAAATCTGAAAGAATTACTCAGAAAGGGCGTTAATAGGGCTATCGAATGCGCTTTTCCGCAGCGCTGTAGCTCTATCGGTTCCCGAGTTATGCGTTGGCTTCTTTGAAATTTTCGACATTCGACCTGGAAATCGGCGAAGTTTTGCCTTCAATGACCTCTGGTGACCTGACCTTTGACCTGACCAAAAAATTGACCGAAGTGATTTCGTCATTATTTTTGACGCTCTTTCGAACGCCGCCTTCCGCGTATCGCTACGTGGCCCAGGAGCCGAGTTACAAGGGGGGGGGGTGTTCAAACACCCCCCCCCCCCCAGCAGGGCGTGGAAATCCAGGACCCCCAGCCGGGCGCGGGTTAACCCGCGCCCTGCCGGGGGGGGGGTTAAACACCCCCTGCAGTTTTCCGTGAATATCTCAAAAACGGTGGCGCGGCACACTTTATCCTACATCATTTCTACATATATGTTGTGAAAATTTCAGACCCTGGTCACTTAAGGTCAGGTCACCAGGTCAGGTTAAATGACCTCACTTCATAAAAAGTTTCAATGTCTGCCAAAGCTACACGGAGTGACCAAACACTTTGAAACTTTCAGAGATGCAAATGCACAAGAGCGACAAAATGCAAAAATGTAGGTATGTCTTGGAATTTTGATATCGATGACATGAAGTCAGGTCAATTTTGCGACCTTAAATTGAAAGTCGCCTTTTTAGACGGAAGCCATTATAAACACTCTAAAACACTGAATTACTAGTATCTTTGACACACTGAACATGAAAATGGCACCCGTGACCCCTTTTTATAACCCTGAGGTCATCTCAGGTCACCAATGGTATCTGACTGTTTTTCGCGAATAACTTTTGATAGAGGCATGCTAGAGCGATGAATACACCTTAGTTGTGTTTGGCTCGACGATACGGATGGACTGATATGGAACTTAGCCCTTATCGGTCAGGTCATGACCTTGACCTGAGGCCAAATTTTCAAGTTGACCTTTCAAGGTCAATTGATAGATCATTCCACACGTCTTGACGAGAGGAACACGATGCTGGTAAAGGGAAGTTCGTGCAAATTTTGAGACGAAAGTTATTGCCGAAAACTGGTTTCCGACAATATCGGCTATTTTGGCAGTTTTTGCGGCCACTGCAGGTAAAACCGTTGACGACACAACCGTTGACGGCACCCGGCATGATTTCTCTGAGCGCATTTATACAAATAATTTGTCTACATAGGATAGGGCCTTCTGTTTACAGAGGACCTCCTCCCCTGTCCCTTCCTACAGTGGGCGGCGACGCGGTTGGGAGTCTATTCTGTACAGTTTCCTGAGTTCTCAGTTCTCTCTATAGTGAGAACTGAGAACTCTCTATAATAGAGAGTAGCTGGGAACAGAAGCCAGAAGGTAATTTGCTTACAGTGGGCCTCCACTCTACATATGTACTTAATATACGACGCTGTCTTGACTACCGGGGGCGTCCTGCCCACAGAGGGCCTCTTATCTACAGAGGGCTTCCTCTCTACAGATTGCCTCTTACGAGTATCTACAGAGGGCCTCCTCTCTGCTGAGGGTGTCTTTCTCTCCAGAGGGCCTCCTTTACAGAGGGCATCCTCTCTAGTCTCTACAGGGATCTCCTCTCTACAGAGGGTTTCCTATCTATGTAGGGCCTCCTCTCTTCAGAGTCTCGTCTCTACACAGGACCTCCTCTATACAGAGGACCTCATCTCTGCAAAGAGCCTCCTCTCTTCAGAGGGCCTTCACTCTACAGAGGGCCTCCTACCTACAGAGGACCTCCTTTCTCCTGAGGGAGTCCTCCTGTACAGAGGGCCTCCTCTCTTCAGACGATCTCCTCTCTACAGAGGGCCTCCTAGTCCTCTCTTCAAAGGGCCTTCTGATTTCAGACGGTTTCCTCTTTACAGAGGTTGGACGCTTGAGCCAAGCTGCTGCGTGCCCTAACTCTTCAACAACTCTTTACAGAGGGCCTGCTCTCTACAGAGGGCCTCCTTTTTACAGAGGGCCTCTTTTTTTAAAGAGGGCCTCTTTTTTACAGAGGGCCTCCTTTTAGAAGAGGGCCTCCTCTCTACAGGGGGTCTCCTCTCTAAGGGGGCCTCCTCTCTACACAGGGCCTCCTACCCACAGAGGGCCTCCTCTCTACTGAGGAGTCAGAGGGGCCCTAGCGGTCAGACACAGACACTAGTGGTTATTCACAGGAGATGAGAAGGGCCCTAGCTGTCACTTGTCAGGCTGGTCAGAGGGGCCTAATTGTTCTGACATCATTTTTTAGATTCCCGCGTGAATTTTGTTCGCCTTTGACGTGATTTTGGCCTTCGGCCCACGTTGGATTCAGGCCAAAAGGATTCAGGCCGACTGGGCCATGTTTGCCTGAATCCTTTCGGGGGGCCTCCTGAAAACCCCAAGGGAGGGGCGGGCACCCCCTCCGCCCCCGCCCCCCTTGGCTACGTCCCTGTACCAACCTGTCGCATTTTTTTGCGCATGAATAAAAAAAAATTATCCCATTTATTTAAAAAGTTCAAGATCACATTTTTAGGATATCATAGGCACACTCTTTGAACACATTTGGCCCATATTTGACTTACCTTAGAACTTGAAATGGCTGAAACTTCGGACGCCGGTGAAAACAGGGCGCCGGAGGGCATTTTAGTCACGTGACATTTGTAGGTTCTCCCCCTTCGTGTGCCTTATACATGCTAAACGTCACGTGTAAATTTCACGAACATTGATCAAATCGCCCCAGGCGCCCTGTTTTCACCGTCGTCCGAAACTTCGTACGATTCGGATAGCAAACAGCAAGACCTTCTTTGAATGAAGGGCCAAGGCCCCAATCAACCTTTGACCAGAATACTATACTATTTGACCAGAATTTATATTGTTCTCCTGTGCTAAAAAAATCCAATCGATAATGCAATAATCTTGGCAAAATGACCAAGGGATGTTAACAAATCCAGCAACGACCCCACACCACACAGACATGGCGACGGCGTTAAACATTCGAGCCCTGTTTTAGGACAGGTCGCTATTTCTCGCTAGTGCTCAGTTTCCATAGAAACGTGAAAGTAATTACCTAATTTGATGATGTTTCTATGGAAACACTCACTCAGTTTCCATGGGAAACTGAGCGGCGGCGGCGATAGTGGCGTACGTGAAACAGGATCAAGAATGTGTTCAGTAACAAATGCGCCAATATCCCTTGCGAAGCAGTAAAAAAACACCAGTGCTAAATTACACCTGCTTTTAGACTATATAAAATTACAGCTGTATTGATCCAAATTATTACACCAGCCTTTTCAGGAAAAGAATGATGTACATCAAACATATCCTTAATTACAAAATGGCAAAAACGCAAACATAAAAAACGGTGGGATGATATGACAGTGCAGTGGGGATCGTTGCTCTAACCAGTAACCATGCCTAATAGACGTGCATATAGTTGCATCATATTCACATTCAGATTCGCGTGCACATTCGCGGACCCCTTCGATTTGGCTGAAAATTGCACAGCAGATAGACCATGAGCTCCTAAGTGCAAAAATCATCTTTTTATTTACCGACATTAAGTATTTTCCAAGTTATTCACGTTTGTTTTACTAGTACAATATTCTGGTTAGTAAACTTCCCGGAAAAATCGGACCTCATCAAATTTCAAGAAAATTTCAGAAATGATTAAGACTCAGTAGTGCTTTACAAAAAACTAATTTGCATCAAACGGGGTCGCATAGTTTTCTCAGGAGAAGTCTCTAAAGTTCAAGGTCGTTCAAGGTCATGCAATTTTTCTCACTTTTTGGAGTCGTTTTACACGTGACAGCTTCGTATTTATGAAGGACATTAGCTATACATACTGCAATAACAATATACTTAAGCACCAGAGGCATTGTTAGACCAAAGGGCGAAAAACAGTCGATAAACCTATTGAGCAAAGCCAAGAGGCAAATACAAGTGATATTCAGATTTCTCGTCCTAAAGTGAACTTGCCGGACCCCTCCGATTTCGTTCAAAGTCACAGGAATGATGCTCCTTGACCTCCTGAACACGAAAAAAGTGCTCCTTTTGACCGACATCAAAGACTTTTCCAGATATACGCATGCGTGCACATTCAAATTGCATATGTTGCATATGGCACGTTGGGCGGACCCCTTTGATTTCGCTCAAAATCACAGGAATGATGCTCCTTGACCTCCTGAACACGAAAGTAGTGCTCCTTTTGACCGACATCAAAGACTTTTTCCAGATATACGCATGCGTGCACATTCAAATTGCATATGTTGCATATGGCACGTTGGGCGGACCCCTTCGATTTCGCTCAAAATCACAGGAATGATGCTCCTTGACCTCCTGAACACGAAAACAGTGCTACTTTTAACCGACATCAAAGACTTTTCCAGATATACGCATCCGTGCACATTCAAATTGCATATGTTGCATATGGCACGTTGGGCGGACCCCTTCGATTTCGTTCAAAATCACAGGAATGATGCTCCTTGACCTCCTGAACACGAAAATAGTGCTCCTTTTGACCGACATCAAAGACTTTTCCAGATATACGCATGCGTGCACATTCAAATTGCATATGTTGCATATGGCACGTTGGGCGGACCCCTTCGATTTCGTTCAAAATCACAGGAATGATGCTCCTTGACCTCCTGAACACGAAAATAGTGCTCCTTTTGACCGACATCAAAGACTTTTCCAGATATACGCATCCGTGCACATTCAAATTGCATATGTTGCATATGGCACGTTGGGCGGACCCCTTCGATTTCGCTCAAAATCACAGGAATGATGCTCCTTGACCTCCTGAACACGAAAACAGTGCTACTTTTGACCGACATCAAAGACTTTTCCAGATATACGCATGCGTGCACATTCAAATTGCATATGTTGCATATGGCACGTTGGGCGGACCCCTTCGATTTCGTTCAAAATCACAGGAATGATGCTCCTTGACCTCCTGAACACGAAAATAGTGCTTCTTTTGACCGACATCAAAGACTTTTCCAGATATACGCATGCGTGCACATTCAAATTGCATATGTTGCATATGGCACGTTGGGCGGACCCCTTTGATTTCGCTCAAAATCACAGGAATGATGCTCCTTGACCTCCTGAACACGAAAGTAGTGCTCCTTTTGACCGACATCAAAGACTTTTTCCAGATATACGCATGCGTGCACATTCAAATTGCATATGTTGCATATGGCACGTTGGGCGGACCCCTTCGATTTCGCTCAAAATCACAGGAATGATGCTCCTTGACCTCCTGAACACGAAAACAGTGCTACTTTTAACCGACATCAAAGACTTTTCCAGATATACGCATCCGTGCACATTCAAATTGCATATGTTGCATATGGCACGTTGGGCGGACCCCTTCGATTTCGTTCAAAATCACAGGAATGATGCTCCTTGACCTCCTGAACACGAAAATAGTGCTCCTTTTGACCGACATCAAAGACTTTTCCAGATATACGCATGCGTGCACATTCAAATTGCATATGTTGCATATGGCACGTTGGGCGGACCCCTTCGATTTCGTTCAAAATCACAGGAATGATGCTCCTTGACCTCCTGAACACGAAAATAGTGCTCCTTTTGACCGACATCAAAGACTTTTCCAGATATACGCATCCGTGCACATTCAAATTGCATATGTTGCATATGGCACGTTGGGCGGACCCCTTCGATTTCGCTCAAAATCACAGGAATGATGCTCCTTGACCTCCTGAACACGAAAACAGTGCTACTTTTGACCGACATCAAAGACTTTTCCAGATATACGCATGCGTGCACATTCAAATTGCATATGTTGCATATGGCACGTTGGGCGGACCCCTTCGATTTCGTTCAAAATCACAGGAATGATGCTCCTTGACCTCCTGAACACGAAAATAGTGCTCCTTTTGACCGACATCAAAGACTTTTCCAGATATACGCATGCGTGCACATTCAAATTGCATATGTTGCATATGGCACGTTGGGCGGACCCCTTCGATTTCGCTCAAAATCACAGGAATGATGCTCCTTGACCTCCTGAACACGAAAATAGTGCTCCTTTTGACCGACATCAAAGACTTTTCCAGATATACGCATGCGTGCACATTCAAATTGCATATGTTGCATATGGCACGTTGGGCGGACCCCTTCGATTTCGCTCAAAATCACAGGAATGATGCTCCTTGACCTCCTGAACACGAAAACAGTGCTACTTTTGACCGACATCAAAGACTTTTCCAGATATACGCATCCGTGCACATTCAAATTGCATATGTTGCATATGGCACGTTGGGCGGACCCCTTCGATTTCGTTCAAAATCACAGGAATGATGCTCCTTGACCTCCTGAACACGAAAATAGTGCTCCTTTTGACCGACATCAAAGACTTTTCCAGATATACGCATGCGTGCACATTCAAATTGCATATGTTGCATATGGCACGTTGGGCGGACCCCTTCGATTTCGTTCAAAATCACTGGAATGATGCTCCTTGACCTCCTGAACACGAAAATAGTGCTCCTTTTGACCGACATCAAAGACTTTTCCAGATATACGCATGCGTGCACGTTCAAATTGCATATGTTGCATATGGCACGTTGGGCGGACCCCTTCGATTTCGCTCAAAATCACAGGAATGATGCTCCTTGACCTCCTGAACACGAAAATAGTGCTCCTTTTGACCGACATCAAAGACTTTTCCAGATATACGCATGCGTGCACATTCAAATTGCATATGTTGCATATGGCACGTTGGGCGGACCCCTTCGATTTCGCTCAAAATCACAGGAATGATGCTCCTTAACCTCCTGAACACGAAAACAGTGCTACTTTTGACCGACATCAAAGACTTTTCCAGATATACGCATGCGTGCACATTCAAATTGCATATGTTGCATATGGCACGTTGGGCGGACCCCTTCGATTTCGCTCAAAATCACAGGAATGATGCTCCTTGACCTCCTGAACACGAAAACAGTGCTCCTTTTGACCGACATCAAAGACTTTTCCAGATATACGCATGCGTGCACATTCAAATTGCATATGTTGCATATGGCACGTTGGGCGGACCCCTTCGATTTCGCTCAAAATCACAGGAATGATGCTCCTTGACCTCCTGAACACGAAAGTAGTGCTCCTTTTGACCGACATCAAAGACTTTTCCAGATATACGCATGCGTGCACATTCAAATTGCATATGTTGCATATGGCACGTTGGGCGGACCCCTTCGATTTCGCTCAAAATCACAGGAATGATGCTCCTTGACCTCCTGAACACGAAAACAGTGCTACTTTTGACCGACATCAAAGACTTTTCCAGATATACGCATCCGTGCACATTCAAATTGCATATGTTGCATATGGCACGTTGGGCGGACCCCTTCGATTTCGTTCAAAATCACAGGAATGATGCTCCTTGACCTCCTGAACACGAAAATAGTGCTCCTTTTGGCCGACATCAAAGACTTTTCCAGATATACGCATGCGTGCACATTCAAATTGCATATGTTGCATATGGCACGTTGGGCGGACCCCTTCGATTTCGCTCAAAATCACAGGAATGATGCTCCTTGACCTCCTGAACACGAAAGTAGTGCTCCTTTTGACCGACATCAAAGACTTTTCCAGATATACGCATGCGTGCACATTCAAATTGCATATGTTGCATATGGCACGTTGGGCGGACCCCTTCGATTTCGCTCAAAATCACAGGAATGATGCTCCTTGACCTCCTGAACACGAAAACAGTGCTACTTTTGACCGACATCAAAGACTTTTCCAGATATACGCATCCGTGCACATTCAAATTGCATATGTTGCATATGGCACGTTGGGCGGACCCCTTCGATTTCGTTCAAAATCACAGGAATGATGCTCCTTAACCTCCTGAATACGAAAAACAGTGCTACTTTTGACCGACATCAAAGACTTTTCCAGATATACGCATGCGTGCACATTCAAATTGCATATGTTGCATATGGCACGTTGGGCGGACCCCTTCGATTTCGTTCAAAATCACAGGAATGATGCTCCTTGACCTCCTGAACACGAAAATAGTGCTCCTTTTGACCGACATCAAAGACTTTTCCAGATATACGCATGCGTGCACATTCAAATTGCATATGTTGCATATGGCACGTTGGGCGGACCCCTTCGATTTCGTTCAAAATCACAGGAATGATGCTCCTTGACCTCCTGAACACGAAAATAGTGCTCCTTTTGACCGACATCAAAGACTTTTCCAGATATACGCATCCGTGCACATTCAAATTGCATATGTTGCATATGGCACGTTGGGCGGACCCCTTCGATTTCGAATTGATGTGGCCCTTCGATTAGCCACATCAATTCTGCATCGAATGACACTAGAAACTTGAAGATCATTTCAGTCG